AAATCAATATTAGAAATATAAATTAAGAAGCTATATATTAAATTCAGATTTTAAGAAAAAATAATAAAAATATTTATAATAGAATATTTTCTCAAATCATATATTTTCCTAAATAATATGACTATATAATTCTAATTTCATATCAAAAAAATTTCATTTAAATCAATTAATTTAGAAAATATTATTTTCTATATAATTTCAAATATCTTAGATAAGCAAAAAAAAATCTCGTATTACTTATATTTTTATATATCTATATACCCAAAAATTTCAGATTTTTTTTTATTTTCGACAACATATCCCGCTAAAATTACCCAAATTCCTGAAATTATAATATCGCGAAATTTTCTTATTACGAAAAATTCGAAATTTACAATACCACGAGAGAAGTGCTTGCGATACTAAATTTTCAAGAATTGTAGTACTACGAAACAAATTAAAAAAGAAATATGCCAAAAGCAATACGATACCATCTCATATAAGATAATATATTAAAATATATCGAAAATTTCTATTCATATATATATATATAAGAAGAGTCAAAAATCCGAAAATCTAATCTATTTCTTATTCTATTTCATAATATTCTTCAGAAGAAATATCTTCCCATAATATTTAGTTTTCAAAAGAAACCTATATAGTTTTAATATTCGTTAAATATTCATTTTATTATTTTTCGATTAATGAATATATTTTCTAATTAATTATTGAATTATATCAATCTAAAATATGAATAAATCATAAATATGACTTTTTACGAACCCAAATTATTCATCTTTATATATTTTCTATTTATGAATTCTCTAGAAAGAGAAAAGATATTTTTGATAAATATTTATCTGGACTTTTTAATTTATATATATATATATTTTATAGTCATATATTCATTATAGATTCATTATAGGTTCACTATTGAATCTTCATGCACCGTAGTATCAATATTTGTCATTGCAAAGTCGTTCCTTGGGATGCTGATACCTATCTCAATATGGAGACATGAATGAGCAATCCAGAAAGGCCATCATTTGTAGAGTTGATGCCAGCTCGACGACATGGATCGCCCGAATAATTCCAGGAAGGAGTTTCGACAAGGTTGCAGTCGAGGCGTGCTGTGGACGCTGTCGTGATGCACTGTTGTGCTACCGCTTTGCTCAGATTTTTCCTCTGCCACGTGGAACAAGTCGTGCTGCTCCAACTTCTTTGCAGTGGACACGCTCTTACTTTCGCATTGAAGCTTCTTGCAAGCCAGCATCATGGTCTTCGTGGCGCTGTCCTCTGAACTCCAGTCTCCGGGCCGGAACCTGAACCTTCCAGCGGAATCCTTGGAAGAATCCTCTTCTTAAAGACCAGGCAAGACACCCGAGGCCGGGTCGCCGAACCACGAGCACACAGATTAAGATGAAGTCTAGCAGCTAGCAAAGATGTCGCTGTCATCAGGGCTCTGCGCACACCAACCACCGGGCTGGAGTATGGTAGCCAGCAACACTGACTGTCAGGTTGTGCTGAAAAAGGATGTGCATAAATGGGGACGGCAAGAACCTAAGTGGGCCGTGGCTGGAGACACTTGGAACCCGTGATACTTACTTTGATAGTTGCAGCGCATGCATGTAGCGTTTTTTGGTTGCAGGGTTTAGGGACTGGGGCTCGGGACATCTACAACATACATAAAGAAGGTTGGCACCAGTGAGGTCAAATTTGAGCAAGGATGCATGCCAAACTCCATATCTCCTCCGGCGAAAGTGATGTTGATCAAGCCTCAGCAAGGAGAGCTCTACGGACGATCTCTATGTGAAAAGACATGCACGAAAGCCTTGAAGCGAACTTGCATCTTTGAAGTACGGCACCGACTTAGTGATTATGAGTGTTGTGGGTGTATCGGCTTACAAGACTTCTGAGAAGGCGTGACAGGATGGCAATGAACAGCTAGCTATCTTGACGTTTAATGAGCAAGGCTTGCCCTAAACCCTAAACCCTAAACCTTAAACACCTAAACCGTTTGAATCAGGAAACCGCACAGTCGCATAGCCCGCGTGCTAGATTCGACATCCCGGATCGCAAACCCTTCACGCCTAACCCTAAACCCTAAAGCCTACACCACTGAAACCGTAAAACCATATGACAAACTCTACGAATCTGTACGTTCCCTGCCCCGGAGCCACTCTAGGGTCTAGGGTTTTTGATTTAGGATTTAAGGCTTTTAGAGGATGAGTTTCGGTTTAGCGAGTAGGGTTACGGCGCTGCTGGTAGTTCCAGAAATCGACAACAAGAGAATCTCAAATGGTATTAACAGCCCTGGCAATGCCACCTTCATTCTCAAAGCTCCGGTGTAGAAGGGTTTGTACGGTTTAGGGACATACAACATCTAGGAATCGAGGTACCGTCGAGGTCGAGCGCCATTGAAAAGCTCGCCCAGGATTCGCTGCCCTCATTTCGGCCAAGTAGTCCTTGGGCCCCAGCACATCGGGCCCATAAGCTACCGCGGAACCACTGAAGCCACGGGCTCTGCACTACCAGAAGTGTATAGGGTTGCACTCTTCGGATTGTCTGCAAGTCTTACTGACGCTTACCTTTCACCCAGAAAGAGATGGATCTGCCTCGGCATGAAAACAGGCACCTCGACATGAAGCCCTGTTTCCCTGGGTCATTGGCTCATTGTTTTTTGAATGGTGGGTGGCAGGTGCCCGCCCCGCAATGAAGCAAGAGCAAGCATATGAAATATCCCTTCATGACAGTTAATTCACAACCACAACAGCGTGACAGCAACAAGAAAACCACAGACGCTAAAGCAAAGATCAGAAACATCTTTAGGGCTTCCTTATTCAGGGAGCCTCGTCACAAGGAGACCCCGTTCGGGCGCATTTTTAAGGTCCCAACCCTGCATCGCCAACAATCCGTGCCTCTAACCCTCGACCCATAAACCTGATCATGGGGCTCAGAAAGCGCACCAAAGCAAACATTAGGATAGGGAGATCCCATATATTCCCGTAGTAATGAACCCATAGGGTAGGGAGTTCCTTGTAAAATCCCTAAACCATAAATCTCAAACCCTGAACCCTAACCTAAACCCGCAAACCCTACGAACTTCAACCTCGAAAAACCCCAAGCCACAACTCAGCCTAAGCCCTAAACCCTAAACCCTAAACCCTAAGCCCTAAACCCTAAACCCTAACCCCTTCAACTCAAGGAAGATGAGGAGCGATAAGGTGTGCAGTAGATATCTTGCCTCAGTCTTCCAGCTCGTGCTGGAGGATTTAGCTCTTAGGGTTTAGGGTTTAGGGTTTAGGGTTTAGGGTTTGCGATTTATAAAAACTTGTATAGGGTTCGGGTCCGGGCTGGGTGACTTTCACTACTCGACTTTCCGACCGCACGCCGAGTCCCTTCTCAAATGTATGCAGTCATCACTTCTGGGCGAGCCGTATCAAGTTCACCTGCATTCAATGCGATCGTGGCCGCCCTCTCAGACAGGATCGCCTCGATGCCGCGGATGGTCATAGTGGTTCCGAAAATAGGGGACCCTAATATAGTACCCTAAATAATAGGATTCCTATTATAAGGACCCCAAAATAAGGTACCCTAATTTTCGGAAACCCCCATATTCTGCCAACTCAATGCCCTTGCCGCACCAAGAGACGACTAGCCGCGACGAACCGGACTCTACTTGGAGGTTCATGGGTAGTTATATGTGGGGTTATAAACTATAGTTACCCTACTTATAACCCTACTTATAACTACCCATGACCCTCCTAGCAACCAAGCTACTCCGCGTCTCGCGGTCGACTGCTGTGAACGGGGTCTCGGGCTTGTCCAGCCCCGCGAAACGTTTCGACCGAAAGTTTTTGACAGAAGCACTTTGCTTTTTAATTTTGGCTTTGGCTGAAGTGGGGCTTGGGCTGCTGGGTTTAGGGTTTGGGGTTTAGGGTTTAGGGGGCTGGGCTGGGCTGGGCTGGCCTGGGATGGGGGGCTTTTTAATTCTGATCTGGCTGGGCTGGCTGGGTGCGGCTGGGCGATGGGCTGGGGAGACTCGGGGGGCTTGCGCACGTTCAATGAAAATTCGAAACTAGTGAAGATGCAGAATTCACACAGCTTCTATTTATCCTGTTCTTGAGGGCTTGAGGTTTAGGGCTTGAGGTTTAGGGTTCAGGGTCTGGGTTTAGGGTTTAGGTTTCGTGTTTGAAGGGCTCAGGATTAGGCTTTAGGGTTTTGGGGCTTAGGCAATTGCATTTCGGATGTCGGAGTTAGAAATCTCACCCAAGCAATCTCTACCCTAAATCCCAAGGCTATAGTCCCTAAGCCTGAGCTCAAACCTGCACCCTAAACCCTAAACCCTCAACCCAAATCCCTCAACCCTAAAGCAAGTTCTATGCTCAATTCTTCGGCACCCCGGCAAACAGACTCTGCAGACCGCATGGCGTTTTTTTGTTAAATTTGTGGGCTCTTTTCCAACTGCAGATACAGTAGAATTTCTTACCAGGAGGAGCCGGTTATTGGGGCCGCATTGTCTGGAATGCCATCAACATAACCTGAAACCCCCGCTGGCCATTCGGTTTAAGGTTTAGGGTTTGGGGTTCAGGGTTCAAGTTTTTGGGGCGCGACTCCTGCATCCGCACACCTTCCGAATCGAAACATCGAGAGCCGAAGCCCTGCTCGAGTCTCGGGATGAGGGCTCTGTAGAGAGGTACGGTTTGGGTTTAGGGTAGGCCGTAGGGATTTGGTTGAGAGGTACGGTTTTGGGTTTAGGGTTTAGGGTAGGCCGTAGGGATTTTATAGAGAGGTACGGTTTTGGGTTTAGGGTTCAGGGTAGGCCGTAGGAAATCATGTATAGGCATTGCATCGTAAAGTTGAGCAGTTTCGGACAGGCTACAGCACTTGCCTAGGGATAGGGCCTTAAGCAGTTTAATGCAGGAACCTGATTAAGAAGCCGTGTTTCAATAACCCGCCCCCCAGAATGGGACCCCTGCAAAGAACCCTAATAAAGACCCTGGGTTCCTGAATCAGGTTCCCATATTGCGTTTAGGGTTTAGGGTTTAGGGTTTAGGGATTAGGGTTTAGGGTTTAGGGTTTAGGGTTTAGGCGCTTTCGGAGGTTTTTCGGAGTTCCCGTATATGGCTCCTCACAGAGCTAAAACCCTCAACCATTAGCACGTTTGCTCTGAGGCCACAAGATGGACCCGCTGCATGAACTGGCCCGAACCGTTCGTCCCTACTTAGCAAGAGGTCCCCGGTCCAAGAAAGCGGCTCGGCTAAGCTTGTGGGTTCTTTAGGTTCTCTAAGGGCTTAGGGGTTTAGGAGTTTGGGGTTTAGGGTGTAGGCTTATTCCTCTCAGGGTGCCATTACAAGGATTCCTTTAAGGCTGGTGGTCAACCGTTTCCTCGGCCTCACACTCTCACAAACCTAAAGCGCATTCAACCATGAACTGCCCAAAAAACTCAGCTCCCCCTCACCCTCAACTCCCATTAGGGTCTATGGGGGTTTAGGGTTTCGGATGTGGGGTTTAGGGCTTAGAACCCTGAACCCTAAACCCTGAGTTTAGGGTGTCTAAAGCTTAACCAAAGCCGACAAAGTCCCAGAAAGGCAAAGTAGCCTCTGTGTCCACGCGGGGCCATCTTCCTGAGCTTCATTCATGTGTTGATGTGGGAGACTTCATGATTAGATTCGGGTTTTGGCATATCTTATGCTGGAATATAATAGGAAGCTGAAGAAATAGCATTGGTAGTAATTCCGGATTCTATAACAGGGTTTAAGGTAAGGTTTGCAGTTTTGCGGTGTCAGCGGATTAGTGTTCAGGTTTTGGAGTTTAGGGTACGTGGATGCAAAGCCGCTTTCGAGTTGAAGGGAAGGTTTTCTATACCCTAAAACCTACCTTAAGAACCCAAAACCCACTTTTTTTGTAGGTTCTTATTATAAACCCTAATATGGGATTTATAGGGACCCTACAAAAAGGTAGGTTTTGGGGTTCTTAAGGTAAACCCTAAACCGAAAGTGCCAGAAGGACTGGAGGTGCTGTGCCGGCATGTCAAGGCTGCGGCTGCTGAGTGCTCGGGGCTTCAGGGCCTTTACTGTAAGGGGTTCTCTGCTGCTTCGTACAGGGATGTAGGGTTCAGGGTTTAGGGGTTTAGGGTTTAGGGTTTAGGGTTTTATATCTCTAAGGACACTATAAGAGCTGTCCTCAAAATATTGAAACCCTGTTCGCATCCATAGTCAGGCGCTAGACTTATGACAAGGAGCTCCAGAAGAGACCTCAATTTAGCGAACCTTCCGCGTTTCAGTGAGCTCAGAAGTTGTTTGAGGGAGTGTTGCTGGAAGAACCTGTTTGTCAGTGGGCATTGCATCCTAAACCCTAAACCATGGAAGTACCCCACCGCTGCCAAGCAACCAGACTTCGAGATTACTTTGGCACCTTCAGGATCCCGATCTGTCTATCTGTCTATCTCGAAATCCATCCATCCAGCCATCGACCTGCCTCCCTCCCTCCCTCCCTCCCTCCCTCCGTCCCTACCTACCTGCCTACCTACTTGCCTACCTACCTGCCTACCTACCTACTGCCCACCTACCTACCGACCAGCACACCTACCTATTGACCGACTGACCGACCTACCTACCTACCTACCTACCTACCTACCTACCTACCTGCCTACCTAGCTACCTGCCTGGCAGGTCGACCTATCTATCTATCTATCTATCTATCTATCTGCCTATCGACCAATCTACCTACCTATCTATCCATCTATCTATCTACCTAGCAGTCTATCAATCTATCAAACAATCAATCAATCAATCTATCTATCGATCTGTCTATCTATCTGTCCATCTATCTATCTATCGATCAGTCCATCCATCCATCTGTCTATCTATCTACCGATCTGTCTATCCATCGATCTGTCGATTTATCGATCTGTGTATCTACCTATCTACCTATCTATCTATCTATCTATCTATCTATCTACCGATCTACCTATCGATCTCTCTATCTATCTACCTATCGGTCTATCGATCTACCTATCTATCTATCTGTCTATCTACCTACTTACCTAACTGTATGTATGTGCAATAAGTGTGTATATATATATGTACGTACATGTATATACACACAGCTTCTACATATATTAATGATACTGTATTTATCCTACATGTATCATTAACATTAACCTACCGTAAGATTATATAGGATTTTACGTTACCCACAGCGTCCTTAGATAGACCCCTTAGGAAGCACGAACCGCTACCAAACCCACAATGCGCCAATCGTCAGATGCGGCGGCGCTGCGCACCCATCGCAAGCAGCATCCAGAGCTGCCTGTGGGTTTCGTCTTGCACGCTCATCATCGAAGCCTAAACCCTGAAACCACAGCAGCTTGCCATTGAATACGTATCATTCGACACGGGCCCCTACCCTAAAAGACCTCACGCCGAGATTTGCATCCCTGAAAGCAGTTCAATCATCCCTAAACCCTATGCCTTAAACACTACAGCGGAAAGGTCCGAACCAACCGAAAGCCCCAAAACAAATTCCTTCAGACGGAAGGCGTCCTTCGTTGATGGCAAGCTCGACACCGGAGTGAGAACCCACCCCAAGGAGCACCTGCACGTGGAGGCTTGAGGAATCAAGGGACCCGCTGTCTCTCTCTCTCTCTCTACCTACCTAATCTACTCGGTCTATCAATCAATCAATCTATCTATCTGTCCGTCTATCTATCTATGTATCTATCTATCTATCTATCTATCTATCGAACTATCTATCTATCTATCTATCTGTCTATCTATCTATCCATCTATCTATCTATCTATCTATCTATCTATCTACGGATGTATGAGACACACAGACACTCACACATGCAGTTCGACGGTATAAGATATTGATGGTAAGAACGGACCCCCGAACCAATTCTAACTTAGCCTCCGCAGTGCCTTCAGAAGCTTGAGGCGATTGGGGGCTTGAAACAGACTCTACGCATAAGCCTTGTAAACAAGTGTAGAGGAAGGGTCATGGGATTTTTGTGGCGGTTTTGCAGCTTCAGTGCTTCCAGAAGTCTCTTGGGGCGATCCGGGGTTTGAAGGGTTTAGGGTTCAATATAGGGGCCTTAATAATTAGAATAGGATTTGGGGGGTATATTTTATACTCTAATCATAACAAGGAACCCCAAAACAGTATTAGAAGTATTTATTAAGGCCCACATATTAGGGTTTTTGAAGTAGGGTTCATTGCGATGTCGTGGTCTGTTTCTTGCGGCCATGTCCGGGGCTTGCGAGCCACTTGTCACGGTAGAACCCAAACCTTATGGTTTAGGGTTTAAGGGTTTGGGGTTTAGGGTTTAGGGTTGAGGGTTGAGGGTTTCGGGTTAGGGTTCTTAGACCGAGTCGCCTGCCGTGCCACAAGCAGCTGCCTCCTAAACCATCAAACCCTAAACCCTAAACCCTAAACCCTAAACCTAAAACCCTAAACCCTAAACCCTAAACCCTAAATCCTAAACCCTAAAACCCTAAGCCCTAAACCCCCAAAAGCAGTCTGCCAGCAGTACCAAAAACATCAGCTCGAAAGATGTGGCTCTCGACAGTAGATGCAGAAATGGATCAAGCCTCCAACTTGCACAAGAAACCCTAAACCCTGAAACGGTTTAGGGTTTAGGGTTTAGGGTTTAGGGTTTAGGGGTTTTAGGGTTTAGGGCTTTGGGACCAAAGGCACCGTTCCATGGACCTTACCCCCTAGAACTAACTCCTGGCCGGGGCTCATGATACAGGCATTAGTTGAGATTACCATGTTATGGCAACTTTGACCATATTATGGTAACTCAAACCATATATTAATATAGGCGCCTTAATAATGACCTATACTATCTTGGGGCTTCCTTACTATAACTATAGTATAATATACACCAAAAGCCTACTGTATTCTGATTACAAGGCCCCTACATTATGGTAACTTAAACTAGTAACTGTACGCTCCTCAACAAGGACCTAGCTTAAGCTCCAGCTATGCTGATTCCAGGCACGAAGGCATCACCCGTGGCCGTGGTCTCCACATCAATCCGCACCGGAAGCTCGAGCTTGCGCAGCTGCACCTACCAGACGGAGTACTTCCCGGTTCTTGCGGCCTTCTGTATATACATATGTATATACATATACATATATACATATGCATGTATATATATATATATATACATATGTGTATACATACATACATACATACATACATACATACATACATACATACATACATACATATATATGTATATATGCTTGTGTATTTTAGTACGAATATTAGTTATGCAGCTTGTATTTTTGTAAACCAATGTAAGTGAAATACAACACAACAGAACATGCTGTACACTTCTTCCTGAAATCCTGAATCGGTTCTTTCGGATGCAACATGTTCAAAATCTCTGGGGCTTCAAATTAAGAGTATAGCGAGCGATGGCATATGTCCGAGCCCAGAATGCCTTCAGCTCAGGTTTGGTTCATCTTTTCTTAGTCTCACTCGGCTCGTGCTTGCCGCCCTGCTTCCGGATATGTTATATAGTATACTCCAGAAAATACATAGTACGTAATACATACTGTTGATGATATAAATCCTGCATTACCTTAAGGGCCCTAAACTACGGGAATCATGGTATATACCTTGCCTTATCATAGGTAATGCAGGATTTCTATCATCAACTGTATCACATGATACCTAAGGATGCCTAAGATATACGTCCCCCAATATCTCCAGCAGCAAAAAGATTTCAAGGACTCCTCCCTTCGGTTTGTGCGGTGTTGCTAACACGGAGTGCTAAACCTTCTTGCTACACCCGCGAACTGGCGATGGTGTCGACACAACCAGCAACGAAATAACCCTAAACCCTAGAACCCGGAAAGCCCCATAATTCCTGAATCCGAAACCCTAAACCTAGGACCCCAAACCCCTATACCCCTGAACCCTAAACCCCAAACCCTAGAACCCCGAAAACCCCTATACCCCCAAAACTTAACCCCGAAAAATCAGCCATGAAATTTCCAGCCAAAGCACAGCTGCATACTCCAGGTAGCCATCCTCGGAGCCCTGTGAGTTCCTTGGCACTTGGCTTTATTTAGGGTTTAGGGTTTAGGGTTTAGGTTTTTTTTTGTTTTGTGGGCCCTTTTCCGTCTGCATACACATTGGGAATTCCTTACCAGGAGGAGCCGTTATTGGGGCCTAAAGGTTTGAAGAGTTTAGTGTTCAGGATTTAGGGTTTAGTTTAGGGTTTACAAGCCCTAAGCCCAAAACGGGTTGAGACCTTGTTACGTCCGCCTGCAGTGGGCTCCCAAGTTTAGGGTTCAGGGAAGTTCAGGCTTTCAAGGGCTTGCTGGTTCAGGGTCCAGGTTTAATGTTTAGGGTTTAGGGTCTAGAGCCTACAGTAGGGGTTTAGGAGTTTAGGGCTTAGGGTTGCAGAAAACAGCGGTCTCTGCAACAGACTAAACCCTAAACCCTAAACCCTAAACCCTAAACCCTAAACCCTAAACCCTAAATCGCGAATGTGTGCTACAAGTCGAGCCGAGCCTTGCTGGGACTCCTAGCAGATCTTATTCCGATGACGGTTTAGGGTTTAGGGTTTAGGGTTTAGGGTTCAGGGTGGTTTAGGGCTTTGGGGTTTAAA